GGGTTGCAGGACCGTCCCTCCGGGCTGGGTTTAGCGTTTGGGGTTTAGGATTTAGGGTTTAGAGTTTGGGGTTTAGGATTTAGGGTTTAGAGTTTGGGGTTTAGGGCTTAGGGTTTAGAGTTTGGGGTTTTGGGCTTAGGGTTTAGAGTTTGGTGTTTGGGGCTTTGGGTTTAGAGTTTGGGGTTTTGGGTTTAGGGTTTAGGGTTGAGCGGCTAAGGGCTTAGGGTTTAGAGTTTGGGATTTAGGGTTTAGGGTTTAGAGTTTGGGGTTTTTGGGTTTAGGGTTTAGGGTCCAATAAGAGTATTTACATAGCAGTGAGAACACCCTAAAAACCCTACTCTAATCATTAACACCTTCCCCCCCCCCCTTTTAGTACCCCGTTGCTCAGCCCTAAACCCTAAAACCTAACCTAAACCCTAAACCCTGAACCCTAAACCCCTAACCCTAAACCCTAAACCCTAAACCGTTGCTCAGCCGCAGCTGCAGCCAACAACATCTTCGATGTGCTTCGCCCAAAGGTGCATTTGCACTGCGAGCTGCCGGCGATGTCAGTAGGTGACACCGCAGGAACTATAAGGGTTCCTTTAAGGGATCTATATTAAAGCGCTCTATACGAATTCTAGGGTTTCAGGGTTTTGTGTTTGGGGTTTTGGGTCTTATGCTGACTCCAACTCTAACCCTAAACCCTAAACCCGAAATCCTAAACCCCAAACCCCAAACCTGAGCCCTAAACCCCAAACCGTAAACCCATCACCTCGAAATCTGCGATACCCGTAATCACGGAATATATCTTACACCATAATATGGCCCCTATGACGGTTTAGGGTTTAAAGCTTTAGGGTCTAGGGTTTTGCGGTTTATTGCTTTGGAGTTATAGGGTCCAGGCAAGACCTACCCTTTTGAGGGAAGAAGACCATTGCAAGGAAGCCTAAAACGATAAGCGGTAGATCTCGGATGGCCTACAGCCCTAAATCAATGCGCGGGCTTTGTTTTCAAAACTAGAACAAGGTTTTTGGGTTCATAGGAATGGTGTTGGTACTTATTCAGAGCCCTAAATTAGTCAGGGTCTAAACCCTAAACCCTAAGCC